GTCTCTGTTTGCAGCATCTCACCTCCATATCTAGCCAATGAATTGAATTCCCTCTCATATTCTTTCACTGAACGATTTCCTTGTTGAAGGCTAATAAGCTTCATCGCCATCTCCTCTTGTACTCCAGGTGAGTAATATTTCTCTCGAAATGCATGGACGAACTGTCCCCAAGTGAACTGATAGTTTACCCCAAATGGTTGGGCAACTCCTTTCCACCAGTGTCTCGCCTCTCCATCCAGATGGTAGATGGATATGTGTGCCATAAAAAGATCAGGACACTGGATAAGATCAAATATCTGAGTCATCCTGTCCAACCAATCCTCGGCCACAGCTGGATCAGATGTACCACCAAATCTTGGAGCTGTACGACGCTCCACTCGATCAAGGAACTGAAAAAATTCCGCATTCATCACAGGTGGTGCAGGTGCAGGAGCTGCAACCGGTTGTACGGGAGGTGGAGGTGGTGGTACATAAGGCGGGGGTGGTGCAAGGACCGGTTGTGGAGCTGGTGTTGCTCCCTGTTGTCTCACAGTAGTGATGAGTTCCATCAGTAAATTCCTCATTTCCTGCATATGATCAGGCTGGGGAGGATTTCCACATCTCCCCTCCTCTGGGACTGGACGTCCTCGTCCACGACCAGGTGCCATCCTACGTTCACATCATGGCAACAATATTAGAATGGTTATTTTACCATAAACTGAGTCTCTAACAGAATACGAAGATTTTTGTTTAAAGTCCGATAGAAAGAGTGGGCCTCTGATACCATCTGTGTAACGACCCAAAAATCCGGTATTTCGGATATCGTTGAATCGTCACTTGGGTTAAAAAAAAATCCGATTTATTCTAAAATCAACCATCAAAATCAGACTCTACAGCGGAAGTCTAAAACAATGAATTCAATAACATAAGTCTGCATATTAATTTCATGAATAAATTGAATAAATAAAATAGAAACTCTAAATCTTCGTCTTTCTGGCAAACTACCAAATCCAACAAAAATAATCTACTTCACTTTTCACATGTGGAGAAAAATGAAAGGGTGAGCTACGCGAATAGCTCAGTAAGGTTGCAAGACTATAAAACTTCACTTTTCACATGTGGAGAAAAATGAAAGGGTGAGCTACGCGAATAGCTCAGTAAGGTTGCAAGACTATAAACGTACCCAGAATAGACAATCAAATAGAAAACAATTCAATCAACATTCAACTCAAACAAAACTCAATCTATCGATTCACGTTCTTCTCCTAACTTTTCTTTGTTCGATTCTTTAAAACGAGTCTAGACTCTAGGACTATTCAGTACCCCTCAGACTTAGGTCAAAACTCTTTTATAAAACAAAACAAAAATATCGTTATAACCCTCTACGGATCGCCGCCGTAGTCGGGGTTATCACTCCGCATGGATCGCTGCCATGTCCGGGTTGTTATCATACCATCACATACGGATCGCCGCCGTACCATGGTCTCAAAACTCACTTTTAAAAATATTTTTAGCACAGTCTGAGGTCACATCCTAGTCCCTAACTCAATTCTTTAATTCTCGCATCTTTCCAAACAGCATGCCAAAGTTTATTTAATATCATAAGTACAACTCATTCTAACGAGCTAATAACCTATTAAAAAAAACGTCATCCCATAACATGTGCGTCATAAACCATAATCACTCAATAAAAATTTATCAATCATCAATCATCATGCATTATTCATAAATCATCGATTCTCAATCATTAATCGTCCTTCATCAATCATCAATCATCAATCAACATACATCATGAATCCGCAAGGAATTTAAGGCGTCTATCCTAAAGTCCTAACCGCATGATATCTATGTTCTCTATCATCATGTCTAAACGAATAGAAGAAAGAGGAGATCTGTCGAGTTCTCTCACCTTGGTCTAAACGATGAACTCCGAAAGATTCGCTCTAATCCTCGATCCCGGGTTCAATAACCTCGAGATTTTCTTCACCTATAATTAATTATCATATAATAATCTTAATCAACAAATTATTTTTCAAAAATATTTACTACCGAAAAAAAAACGTTAATCGAATGGTAAGTCTTACGGTTAAACTGTCTTATTTTAAATCATTCGAAGATCTCTAAATACTTTGAATTTTATAAAACGGATTTCGGATTTGAAATCACAGGATTGAAACGGTTCAACCCATGTCATCGGAAAATTTTCCGGCGACGGTGGCCGGCGACCGTCATACATCTCGGAATCAATTAATTTTTTTTTTGTTTCCTATGTAAAACCAATCAAGGAATCCAAATCCGAAGTTATTTTGGCCTAAATCGGCTTAAATCGCCCTAGATCTAAGTTTTTCTCCGACGGTTCTCGGTGATTTTCCGGCGATGTTTCACCGTTTCCGGCGACGACACTACCCAGAAAAGATTCAACTCGTCAAGTGCTTTCAAACCCTTCAAGTCTCAACCCAAACCGAGCTTCTGTTCGCCGGAAATCGGAAATCTCCATGGCGGTAAAGAAGGAAAACGATGAAGAAAAACTAAGAAAAGATGGAGAAACGGACCGACGGTGATGAAGCGGTGGCCACGGGGCGGGGATCGATGGTCGACGGCGAGCAAGGAGGCAAATCGGAGTGGAAGATAGGCAACAATGGTGTTAGGGTCGGCCATGGGAGGAGGAAAAAGAAGAAGAAGAAGAAACCCTAGCAAAAATTGCAGTCCAATCCCATATTTTTTCTGAAATTTTCGAATTCTGCCCAAACTTTTATTTCGTTCTAAAAGACCTTAACTGAAATAACAGATTTTTCCAGAACTTTTAATTTTATCACCTTACCCCAATTCATTCATTTTTTTTTAAAATTTCCGTTCGTTATAGTATGGTCGCGGAACACTACAAATGGTATTAGAAGCGGTACTCTCCTATTACAGTGTGGTTCGAAGACAAACCAGATGAAAGTTGGTAGGTCTGTGATATCCCGAGCTATAATGAGGGTTGAGAGTGATTGTTGGAGTGACTCTCCTAGTATCACTAGACCAGGAGGATACGAGAATGAAAAGAACGTACCATAATGAGAGAGATCTAAGCTAGGATTGTATAAGTATGTGACTAAATGGTCTAAAATAACTTAAAAGAATTGATTAAGTTACTCATACCAACAAGGTATACCTGTCTTTTCGGTTGACTATTTCGAGAAAACTTCAAAGTTAAGCGTGTTGGTTGTGAAAAAATATAAGGATGGATGATCTAATGAGAAGTATCTTAGTATGCGTGCAATTGAGGATAAAACACGCTGAAAGATCTCGTATTGGTGTGAAAGAGCAATTTCAATGAAGTATAACCCTAGTGAGTATGTATTACTTATTGAAGGGGGAGAATCAGAGAGTTTAATTTTGTTAAGGCTCTCAGAGATGAACACAAAGACGATTGAATTTGCAGAAATAAAAAGAAAGATTTTCACAAAGTATATATGATTATTTTGATGTTATTTATGATTCATATGTATATCATAATATTTATTGTTTTTATTTATACATATTTTAATATAGGTTTATAACCATGTTGCAACGTTCTCTTTTTCTCTTTTTTTTTTTTCTATATACACAAATTACTAAGTTTCGTAGTCTTTGAATATTTTTCTAAATATTTTATTCGTTTCTCATTGATTAGAGATTATAATTTGGTTAGACTAAATTTATCATATATATATATATATATATTCGGTAATATCCCATAGATCACATTTATACCTGCAAAATAAGGGTGATGATGGTCAAAGAAAATCACATGTTAATGTATAATTTACAATTTTTTAAATAAATAAATAAATCTTAAAATTCTAAAAAATATGCAATTTTTTAACTGTAAAACTTGAACTCTTAAAGTATATATGATTTTTATTATTTTTATTTTAAATTCCAAAAAAAAAATACATAAAATACTTGTATTTATTTAAAAGTTTATAATTTAAGTGTTTTAATATTTAATATAAAAATTAGGAAGAGTTTATGTATTTATTTAAGATTTTTAAAATCAATATATTTATTTGAAATTAATTTTAGAAATGAGATCTAGTGTGATTTGCCGTCAAGAATATTGGTGGTAATATTAGCTGCAAACAACAACTTTGGATATGGATTTGCGGAAATAGAAGGAAAGATTTTTACAAAATATATATTATTCTTTGGATATTTTTCATGATTTATACTTGTATCATAACATTTATTATTTTTATTTCTATATATTTTAATATAGATTTATAGTCATATTGGAACGTTCTTTTTTTTATTTTTTATTTATTCTTTCCATATACACAAATTGCTATACAAGTTTTATAGTCTAATCATTTTTTTACAATAATTTGATTTTGGAAAAATCCAAAAAAAAAATACTCAACTTTTCGATTTTGAAAAAACAAAATCTATTTTTTTTAGAGTAATTTAAAAAACCGTTAACACTTTGTACACCATATCAAGGTTGTTTAATTTAACATTTATAAAATAGTTTATATATTATTTTGGACAATTAAAAAACTTTAGTTTTTTTCTCAAAAAAAGTCCAGGTATTTTTTGTCAAAATTAAAAAGTTGAGTATTTTTTTTGTGATATTCCGAGGTATGATGAGGGTCAGAAGTGATCGACGGGGCGACTCTCCGAGTACCACTAGACTAGAGAGACACGTGAATAAATCAAACGCATCAGAATGAGAAAGATTCGAGGGTTGTATATATGATGACTATATAGTATAAGATAACTTTAAAAAAAAATTGATTGGGCTATGTATACCAACAAGATATAACTACTTTTTCGATTGACTATCACAAGAAAACTTCAAAGTTAAGCATGTAGACTCTAGAACAATTTAAAGATGAGTGACCTACTTGCAAGTAACTCAATATGTGTGTTAGTGAGGACAAAATACGTTGAAATGTCTCGTGTTAGTATGTGAGAACAATTTCAACGTTCGATAACAACCATGGATCGTTACAAATGGTATCAGAAGCGGTACTCTCCCATTACAGTGTGGTTCAAGGATGAACCAGACGGAAGCTGGTAGGTTTGTGATATCCCAAGCTATGTAAGGGTTGAGAGTGATTGCAAGAGTGGCTCCCCTAGCAACACTAGGCCAAGTTTTTGGGTCTAAAATAATTTAAAAATATTGATTGAGTTACTCATACCAACAAGGTATACCTGCAGTTTCGGTTGACTATCTCGAGAAAATTTCAAAGTTAAGTGTATTGGTTTTGAAAAAAATATAAGGATGGGTGACCTAATGAGAAGTATCTTAGTATGCATGTAACTGAGGATAAAACATGCTGAAAATCTCGTATCTATGTGAAAGAGCAATTTCAATGAAATATAACCCTAATGAATATGTATTACTTATTGAAGAGGGAGAATAAGAGAGTTTAATTTTGCTAAGGTTTTCAGAGATGAACATATGTGGAAATAGAAAGAAAGATTTTTACAAAATATATATGATTCTTTGGATGTTATTCATAATTCATATGTGTATCATAACATTTATTGTTTTTATTTTTACATATTTTAATATAGGTTTATAACTATATCGCAACGTTCCCTTTTTCTATTTTTTATTTATTCTTTCCATGTATACAAATTGCTATATAAGTTTCATAGTTTTTGAATATTTTTCTAAATATTTTACTCATTTCTTATTGGTTAGAGATTATAATTTGGTCACACTAAATTTATCATATATATATATATTCGATAATATCACACATATCACATTCACACCTGCAAAATAAGGACACCTGCAAAATAAGGATGATGATGGTCAAAGAAAATCACATATTAATGTATAATTTATAAATTTTTTAAAATAAATACATAAATCTTAAAAATCCAAAAATTATAAATATTTTTAACTGTAAAACTCGAACTCTTAAAGAATATATGATTTTTATTATTTTTATTTGGAATTCAAAAAATACATAAATACTTGTATTTATTTAAAAGTTTATTATTATTATTTTTAATACATAAATTTTAAATTTTTATTTTTATTATTTTAAAAATCCAAAAATTACATAAATATTGTTATGTATACAAAAAATACATAAATATTTTTATTATTTTAAAAATCCAAAAATTATTTTTATTATTTTTAAATTTTTAATAAAAACAATTAGGAAGAGTTATGTATTTATTTAAAAATTTTAGGGGTAATCACATAAAAATACCCGAACTTTTACAAAAATCCTAAATAAATACTCGAACTATAAAATTATCATATAAATACCTGAACTTTTCAAAACTCCCACATAAATACCCAGACTTTTAAATTTTTTTCAAATTAAACAAACGCAACTGCTTACTCAGCAAAAAACTGCTGACTCAGCAAAAAACTGTTGACTCAGCATTAAAAAATATTATTAAATATCCAAATATTCATCTACATGTATTTAAATTAATATATGCATATAAATTCACATATATATATATAATAAAAATAAAATTATTTATAATTAATAAAACACATATACACATAACTACAATATATATATATATATATATATCATTACTAATGCATATATATTACAATAAAAATAGTCTAAAATAGTCTAAAATAACTTAAAAGAATTGATTAAGTTACTCAAACCAACAAGGTATACCTACTTTTTCGGTTGACTATTTCGAGAAAAACTTCAAAGTTAAGCATGTTGGTTTTGGAAAAAATATAAGGATGGATGACCTAATAAGAAGTATCTTAGTATGCGTACAACTGAGAATAAAACTCTCTGAAAGATCACGTATTGGTGTGAAAGAGCAATTTCAATGAAGTATAACCGTAGTCAGTATGTATTACTTATGGAAGGGGGAGAATTAGAGAGTTTAATTTTGTTAAGGCTCTCATAGATGAACATAAGGACGAGTGGATTTGCGAAATAGAAAGAAAGATTTTCACAAAGTATATATGATTCTTTTGATGTTATTCATGATTCATATGTGTATCATAACGTTTATTGTTTTGATTTATACATATTTTAAGGGATAATCGCATAAAAATACCCAAACTTTTACAAAAATTCCTCATAAATATCCGAACTATAAAATTGTCATATAAATACCTGAACTTTTCATAACTCCCACATAAATACCCAAACTTTTAAATTTTTTCCAAATCAAACACTCATCCGTTAACGTCGTTAAAAGCAACTGCTAACTCAGCAAAAAACTGCTGACTCAGCAAAAAAATTCAGTTGACTCAACAAAAAAAATATTATTAAATATCCAAAATTTTATCTACATATATTTAAATTAATATATGCATATAAATTCACACATATATATAAATATATATATTAAAAATAAAATTATTTATAATTAATAAAATACATATACACATAACTAAAATATATATATATATATATATATATATATATCATTACTAATTCATATATATTAAAATAAAAACAATTATAATTAAATTTATAAACATACATAATATACATATTAAAATAAAAATAATTACAACTAACATATATACATATAATA